CAGCAGGATCTACATTACTCAAATCCTTCTCTCGACCCTCCACCATACTTCTGCCACAGTGACAACAGCTCAAGGTTTTCCCTAGCCACTGTTATTTTTCACTTGGCATCTCCATTCCCTCTCAAAGCAAGTGTTAATACCAGCCCAGGGAAGCAGCTCCATCTGTGCTGGCATTGCAACAACTAGCAATTTGCACAGAAGTTCTAGTGAAGACAAAGTCCCCAGAGCTTCATTAGCCCCAAACCAAAATGCTTCCAGCTGTGATTGAGATGGATCTAACCACGCACGTATTCATGCCAGAGCATTTCAGTGGAACTACCCACTGATGGATGCTGCAGGAAGTAAGCAGCACAGATGAATCATTTGTTAAGTCAATAGTGAACCATTGCCCCATTTTTATTCCACAGGTGACAAGCTTCTGGTGGTACATAATTTTTAGAGCCATAAAAAGTAAACACCTTGGGGTTACTAAGCGTCCCGTGACACACTTGAAACTAGTTAGATGTTTCCATCCGAGCCAAACATTAACAGGGTAACAATCTACCTAAGTTTTCCTCATGTGGGAAATGTGTTGAATTCGTATTTTCTTAAAAAAATCTACATGAAAGTATTGAGTATACAGTAACATTTAGAATATTCTTTATTCTGTTTGGCAGAGGCGCCCTGTTTCTCAATCAAATAAAACAGGAAATCCACAGCAGCGATCTGCAGGAGCTGGGTGGATATTTGGATCTCTCCAGAGTAAATGGAGAAGAGGTAGGAGGCAAGCACCCCAACAATTCAAAAAAACTATGTACTTCAATTCCTTAAAGCTCCTTATAAGTTTAATAAAACAGAGGCAGGATACCTAAAGATACTTCCTATATAACCTGTAGCAACAAATCATAGTCAGCATTCACCAGTACCAGAGTTGCATCATCTCTAGAATAAGAGTTTTTTTCTGCACTGCTGAAACCAGTTACATGCTTGGGAGTGTCTCAGAGTATATCTCCTTTGCATGACTCCATCATGCACATTTGGAGATATACACATACACACAGAACACAACAAATAAAACCACCATGTACACACACAGATTGAAGATCAGTTATCCAAGCCCTGAGCCTTATGGCCCAGGGGGGTTTAAAGGGCTTGTGCTGAAACAGCTTCATTGCAGCTGATGGCCAAACTTTGTAAATAGAAGCACATCCAGGCATGGCTCCCAAGTCACACCCTGTAGGGTTTTTTTTTCTCAACAGCTCCCTGTTGAAATCCACACCAGCACTGAGTCACAAAAGCCTGCAGGAGCCTTCACCAAA